AGGACAACTGTACAAAATTCAAAGCTTCAAGACTGTACTTAAATTAATACAAATTTTATGAATAGGTAAGCATTGAAACACAAAAGAATCCTAATCTGAATTCAATAAAACTACTTTTTTAAAAAAGGGTGGAAAATGAATTTCATTTATTAATCATTTCTACTGTGATATGACAGTATCATACAATTATTATATAAATTATTATTGTTTGGTGCACTTTAGTATGGTACAACAATACCAACTGAAAGCCTATTAAGTTAAAAGTATTACATAAATAAAATCCCATATTTTTGGGCAAAGTTGGCTCAGGTAAGAAAGGTTGGAAAATAAAACTTCTTTATAACAAAGCTTCTAATTTTTTTAAAAAAAATTTGTTTTCTGGAGCTACTACAGAATTTTAAGCTTTTTAAATACTATTACTTTGCATTAAATCTAGCTGAAAGACACAAAAACCAAAAAAATCTTACTCTCCATAAGCACCTTCTCCTAATACTTGCACAGCATTCCATCCTTCAACAAATTGCTTACCCATTTCTCAGAAAGATAGAATAAAATGTTTCTGTAAACATAAAGAGGGGAAAAAATCACTTTTAAGATTTAAAAAATTGATTTCAATACTACATAATTACCATCCAAAATTATTTTAAATTTTAAAAAAATCACAATATATTTGTATATTAGCACTAGCGACGAATTTAGCGGACTGTAATTAATTGTGATCTAAGAATAAAGGTATCGGCTTCGAATTCCAGTCTGTTGAAAGAAAATTGATTCAATGAAAAGTCCAAGTTCAATTTGATATTATTGGATATATTTCAATGCTGAAGAATATTTCAATATGAATAGAATAGTTCACACGTAATAACACAGTTCACAAGTAATAGCATAGTTCACAAGTTAGAATTTCGACACAAGAATATTTCACAAAAGAATGTTTCACTATAGTATGTTTACATCTTAAGAAAGATGCACTGGCTGTTGCCACAAGACCACTTCTAAATGGAAGCGGCTCACTTACTATTCAACAATATATTTAATTAAACTTTTTCAACTCGTGGAACCCCTAGAACTCGAAGGTATTTTCTTGCAACCCCTACAACAAGAAAGTATTTCCGTTGAATCCCATTCTACGTACATACTTAGAAGAATATATCTCAAAATAATATTTAAAGTAGATCAACATGTTATAGGTACTTTATGTAAAGGCAGTTAAAACAAGTATTGCATTTATTATTAAAAATTTCTAATATAATTTTTTAATATAACTTACTCATTAATAATAATAATTTGTGATCCAAGTATCACCAACCCGTGCATTATATTTAGTAACTGGGATATGTACTTGCTTTTTTTCACACAAATTGTCAAAGTCTGTGTCTATTGAAATTATCTTCAGTCATAATTTATATTCTGCATATGATTTGTTTTTATACCCCCTCACATTGAGAAATATATTTCACTTGAACACAATGTTAAAATGTTTATAGCTGTGTGAGAAATACTTCGTATTTTTCATGAATTTACAACAAAAAATTTAGGAGCTGTTCTTGTTATAGATTTTAACATTGAATCTGTTGATAAGTAGTTTCCTCTCCTTCATTATAGGTGTTTTTTTCCACAATTACAAAAAGGTACATTTTCCATTAGAAAATTATTTAGCTATGCAAGACACTGTGTTACTTAACGAGAATAAAATTATCTCGTCAAACCCAAGATAGTAAACAATAAAATATTCAGTCTGGTAGGAAGCATATATATAAAGATAAAACCTTTTAATATTCTTTTATTATATTATAACAAAAGTTTTAAAAGCGTTGAAAAATAAAGTTTATTATATATATATAAATAAAATTTTAAGTTTTAATGAATAGAATGAGTTTCAAATACTTTATACAAACCACAGAAATAATAATTTTGCACAAATAGTTCTAAGTTTTTTTTTCGATTTTTTTTGTTGTGACTCGAGAAACCCCTGGGTAAGCCATGTGGAACCCCAGGGCTCTATGGAATACAGTTTGAAGAGCCCTGATCTATCTCAAAATGTCAGCTGCTACTATAAGAAATTTTGAAAATTTTGTGTGTATTAAAAAAAATTTTATAAGGGTTTTACTGATGAAATATATTCTTAATGAGGTTATTCAATTCATTACTTCATCTACATTACAATAAAAAAAACTGGCTTTCATTTTTACATTAAAACTGTAGGTACTATTTGGCATTTGCTTTGTTTTGTTGTACGTTTGTTCACATTAGGTATTGATACTTTAGTTTGGCATCTCTCGTGGTAATAATTATGTAAATTCTGTAGTTTTTTAATCTAACATTAAAATCAGCAGGACTACCAATATTGTGCTGATTTTAGATCTCTTATAAAGAAAAAATACAACCCAAGTTGCATTTCTCCACCTTCTCCCCTACAACATAATGGATTTTGTCATAAAACTGGAAAACTGGATTCCAAGTTAAATTTGTAGATAAAAGGAAACAAAGTTGTTTTCTAATTATAGCTATACAAATATAATTATTCAAACTAATGAATGGTACTTAATATTTTCAACTGAAAGAAGTTGTACACAAACAATCGACAAGATATTGTTCTCATATCCTTGATCCTGGCACTAGATGACATATCCATCTTTTGAGTATTCATGAAATAGTTCATAATGATGCAATTAATATTAAAAAAGCATTTTCTACCAACAAACACTTTAATTTATGCAAAAATTGTATGTGCTGCATATAGTCAGACCCTGATTTAATGAATTCATCAGAGCCAAACATTTTGTTAATTCAGGGTTATTCATAATATTGGGGTCCAAAAAATACAATTTTTTTGCCCTTACATTTTAAAAATTCTATAATAAGCAACTCCACATAGTTAAAAAATATACACTTTCTATTCAGCAGCTAAAAATACAATAAGCAAATCATTACACACCAATTCACTGAAATTTTTGGAATACACTAATTGATATTTTGGCAATCTTTTTGATTCCTGACTCAAAAGAGGTTGTTTTTTTTTCCCCCTCCAACTTTATGCCCAAAAGAAAATATTGTATTTTAACTTTTATTACAAAACTTGCAACATGCAATATAAATATTTCTGGAAACTAAAAGTTGTAACTGGTTGTTTGAAACTAACAGAGTTTCAACTCCAATGCACATTAGATTTTTTTTTTTTTTTTTTCTTTTTGAGTTAAAGTACTTACCTTTCTAAAATAGCCTGTTACCAGCAGGAATGTTGGATATCATCTACAACTTATTATAACTTATTAATGTCGATAAAATTCAATTCACGTAAAATTTTTAGGTATAAATGTTATTACCAGAATAATTATTATATTTATTTATACCATAAGCTTTAGAGACATAACAAAAAAAGGAACTGTACAAAAAGTGAAGGATTACTTGTTTAGTTTGGATATCGTCAGCTTTCGCGCCAGTAGGATTCATCTTCTTCTTATCTTTTGTTAAAAAGGATTTTTTTAACATAAATATTAGTAAATAAAACTCATATCTCGATATGTAAGTTGTGTTTCAATTAATAAAAAAATAATGTGTGTTGTTTTCAAAAATAACTATCAGTTACTTTTGCATAAAATTAAGAAATTTTTATTTCAAGTATTATATTAATATTTTTTATCGTACTCAGTTTAATCGTTATCGAAACATTCTTGTATGATCCGTGGTTTGATGTACTCTGTGTCTATAGCTTCTCCGTATAAACATTAATTTTAGATTCAAGAATATTTCTCTAAAATGTCTTTGCGGATATTAGTTGGTTGCAAAAGAGTGATTGATTATGCAGTCAGGGTAAATATTCTCAGATTTCCTATTCTAATATTCTGGGTCATTTTTTGATTGTATTGACATTTTTTATTTATGTTTCTTATCTGATATTAATAAGGGGATGAAATATGTTGCAAGTAAATAATGGTACATTATATGTTTCCAGTACTTTCATTTTTTTTTATAAAGAATTCTCTCAGAATCCAATGTTTATTGATTATTCCATCTTTTTAAGATTTAGTTTATTATGTAATCATTCATTCCCTTATGAGGAAAATTACTACTCGGGTTAGGCAACTATAACTTTGAAATATATTTACTAGCCTTTTATGTAGTAATAATTTTTTATTAATGGTAGATATGCAAATTACATTGAGGTTTATTATATTAGTGTTGTTATTTAAATATTTGTGTTTGAAAACTTAAAAGCTTCGTATCCCTTCTACCTTTTAAAACATTTTAATTGTGAGAACAAATATATATCTATACTGTGTATGTACGATATTAAACTTTCAATAGTATATGTATTATTTTCAGTTTTCCTTGTATAAAAATTGATCCTTATTTAAAACTTTTTTTCAAATGCAAGACAGGCTTCAATATCTCAGGCTTCAGCTGCAAACCTCTAGCTAGAAATGGAAGTTGTAGTCATCAAACTACTGATGTGTATTGATGTTCATTTGCAGATAGTTAAATAGGAAATTCTGAACAAAATTAGAAACCAATTTGTTATTGGTACACTACAGATTTTTCCCACCAAGTTGTTGTATAATTTTACTCAATTGAGACTACATTACTGTTTGATAACATTAGAGTGGCTGCCAAAGAGCTATTTAGCAAAATTTGAAAATCGGGTCCAAAATGAATAACATGCTGATATCAAATTATTTAAATGAGTCCATGCTGATATCAGAAATTCAAAATTTAAACATTTTTAAAAGTAGATTATTGAAATGTAATGAATTATAATGAGAAATGTTTACTAAGTGAAATGTCATTTCTTTACAAAAAATTACTTATTTATAAAATTATAATTTTTTAAAAAAGGTATAATAAACTTTAAGATTACCAGAAAGCAATACTACTCATTTAAATGGGTAGTATTTATATTAAGGTCATTCAGCCAAATTTCCACCATATGATAGAAGTGAAAACTTCTGATTTATTCTGGGCAAGAAAATCCAATTGTTCAGATGTATATGTGCTGCATTAGCTGTAATTGGCTTATTAAATCAGTTATGATTCCTTGGATCATAATTCACTACTTGATAACTGTGGTAATTAGAAAGGTAATACAGCTCAGCTCTCTGACCTTTAGGAATGGACACTTTTTTAGATCAAAACCCAATCTGCCACTGGCTCATCCTCACGTGGTGACTTTGTATAACTTTGGCCTAATCACACAGATTCATCCTGATGACATATCTTTCACGTGTCTGCCTAATCGATTGTTGATGGTTGCTCATGCTCTTACAATGTCATATTAGTTGATGGAGAATTTGGGTTTGATTATGGAGAGAGGGGGGGATGTCATCTAAGGAAAGCAGCAGGCATGCAAATTACCTATTCTTGGCTTGAGGAGATAGTGATAAGAACTAATAATATGTGACACTTTATCGGATTGAATACATTCTACCTCCTTTAATGAGGATACATTGTAGGACAAGTCTGGTGCCAGCAACGGAACGGAAATTAGATAATCGCAGGCGCCGGCGCCGCGAGGCGCCTATTCCCAGAAGAATGGGAGAAAAAGAAAAACCATATCATTGGTGCCAGCAACTATTGGAGCTGAAATTTAATAATTTCAGCTCCAATAGTTGATGCTTTTAATGGCAGTCATCCTTCTGCTTCTAATATATGGCCAATTTCCTTGGAATGATCTTCACCAGTCATCTGATTAAATTAGTGAACAACATAGTAATCCTAAAATTACATCACAACTGATTACTCTCATTGAGAATCTTTTTTATGCAGTTTGCCATTCTTTCATATAAATAAGATTCCAGGTAGTTCAACTTATCTTATTCGGGCTATATTGATATATTATGTATATCACACTTTCAAACTAAGAAGAAAATTTCAATCATTGGGAAGGGTTTCTTCAGATATTAATACTTAATTTCAAAAGTTTAACAATTCTTTTTTGTCTAATTATCAAGCTTTTTGAATCATAATTTTGTCTAAATTTGATTCTTTGTTTATCATTTTTTCAGTTTGATTAACTATCACCTAGGAATGACTATCTGAATATTCCTGCAAACTTGTAATTTCTTTTTCTATTTCATTGACTATTTCTGATATTTTTGCATTTAAATCTGCACTTTTAGATTTCTAAAAAATACAGTGCTGTATAATAATGAAAGAAGTGTAACCTTGGTTATTTCTGTTCTAACTAATGATACTGCTATTCTGGCACCAAGAACTTGTTGCAGTTCCTATATTAAATCCATTTTAACATGCTCAGTAAACAACTTTAGTTATGCAATTCCAATTCATATTCCTCTTGCACAGCCTAAAAATTCTATTTTCTCTCTCCTTTTTAACTCATCACTTCTTTTCTACACTGGAAATATACAAATCTATTCCACTGCTGTTAAACAGTCCCTCATATCCCCTAAACAGTATGTATAGATTAGAATCACAGTGGTGGAGAAAATATTATTCACCTGTTAAAATTAATCAAAATTTCTCTATTCTTATACATATTTTTTTTCTATGCATTTTTTTCAATTTAAAAATGCTTAAAATTTCAGTGTATTAAACTTATTTGCTTTAAAAAATCACTATACAATTATGTTAGCTGTTTAATACTTATTTTAACCTATTACAGTTTATTTCCAACTTAATATTTGATTTTTTTTTTTCAGTACTTCTAATTTTTTTTATAACCATAAAAGCAGGTTTTGTAATCACATTATATATTGAAAATATATTAAAGTTACTTTGTCCTTTAATAATGGATTTTTCATTCAATTCATTCTCTAGATACGAATCAAGCCTGACAAAACTGGTGTAGTGACTGAAGGTGTTAAACACAGTCTGAATCCATTTGATGAAATAGCCGTTGAAGAAGCTGTGCGCATGAAAGAAAAAAAATTATGTAATGAAATCATTGCAGTATCTTGTGGACCAGCTGCTTGCCAAGTAGATTTTTAATTGTATTTTCTTAAATATTCTGTTTGTATTGGTTTGTTTGAATAGGATTATCTCTAGTTATTTTTTGAAATATATATGGCATTTTCTTTTTATGGAGTTAATATTCCTTTCCAGTACAAATTATAATTTCCCTATTAAGATGAAAAAAGCTTCCGTCTTTTTTTGTTACGCGCAAATGTCTACGTAATGTAATTGTGTTGTATAATTTTGATTTGTGTGCCATGGCACTTAAATTAAATACCGTAAAATCTGGCATATGATGCACACTTTTAACATGAAAAATAAGATACAAATTTAGTGGTGCACGTTATACGCCAAGTATAAAAATGAGAGTATTAAAAAAAATTTAGACTTATATATCGGAAATACTGTTTATTTAAAAGAAATAACATACTTTATATATGAACTTTCATTGTTAGATAACATGAAAAGGCATTCTTTTTTGACCATTTTAAGGCGAATAAACGTACACTGTTTCTTGTCACAATTAATCCATTCAGGCGATTTTCTAGGGCCCAGTTCGCTACACTTTCTTCTAGAATAGGCCATTTTGTTACTCCTTTGCGTAAAGTACATTTCTTCTTTGGCATGTTAATTGTCATTTCATTTTTTTTCCACTCCCTTATGGAGCTTTCGCCAATATTAAACATCCTTGCTACAGCACAATTTCCATTTTCTTGTACAAATTGAATCACTTAGATCTTGAAACCGGCACTGTTTTGCTTCGTTTACCAGGACCTATCTTTACTGCTCGCTGATTGAAGCGTATTCAATATTCATAGTATTGAATATACTACAGACAGCGAGCGTAATAAGTCTCATGCTTGTTCTAATTTATTTCAAAATTAATCGTCTGCCTCGTACATCATATGAAAGGGGGAAAAGGAATCAATGTTTATAGAAAAGCGTGGGAAAAATCCAACCATGGCGCTGATTCGGTCTCCCTCCCCCTCCCTTCTTGCGCTTAAGGGTTGTATAACTCTAGAAGTATACTATTTTTTCAAAAGAGAGTCTGGAATGATTCATTCAATAAATAATGATTTCAAATCATAAGAAAATTGCACATGTACATTTCAAATTTTTTCGTAAATAAGGGGGTGCACGTTATATGGCAAATATAAAAAATTAAAAAATACAGCTTGAAAGTATAGGTGCACATTATACGCTAGATTTTACGGTACTTCAACTTTTATTTAGCTAATTAATTCAGTTTCATGATCTGTGTCTTGCTACCTTAAGTTCCACTCTACATGAATTTTTAAATTTTATCATATCATATTTAAAAGACCTCTTTACAATAAAGTATCTGCTCTTATTTTGTTTTTTATTTTCTGATTATTTGTGTTCTTATATGGTAACAAAATAACTCAAATAAAATGGTTGAATTGGTGTGTTAGAATACTAGAAATAATTGGAATAATCAAATTTCTTTTTAATCTGTAATCAACCATTTGTGTGAAAAAAGTTTCAGAAAGAGGAATAAATTAGCGTGCTAGTTTGATATCGGGGGTAGTAGCGCCAAGCTGTTATTTATGTTCGCCAAGATGGGCGATAATATTACAATATGGTTAGCTTAATATTTTTATCGTCTGTCGATGTGGTTGCCATGGGGATAACGTATATTAGAAATAACTTTTATTCGTTTTTTTCCCGCTATAACCCTTTAAATTTCAGACGATATCTTTAAAAATTTAACCATTTTCAGTTTAATTTTTCTATTTGCGTCTTCTGTTTAATTTTGGGCTACTTTCGAATATGGATACTTCTAAAATGAGTGAGTACTTGAATATTTTTTTTTTAAAGAATAAGTGTTGTGCTTTTAATTATCACTATAAATAGTTTATTTTCGTTTTAAAAATGTTTTTTTTTATGTTCTTTGTTCGATGATACTCGTTGAAGGAACTTGCAGTGCAAGTTTCATATTGCAAGCTCTTTCACTACTTTGTAATTGATATTCTAAATTAATTTTAACATACATTATGTAATTATTTTATTCATAATGAAAAAAAATGCAATTATTACTATGTGTAATCATCATATAATATTCGTTATTTATAATTGTTTCTTTTAGCATTTATTTATAACTATTATTACATATTTGTTATTTATTTATAATTAATATTATTTATTTATAATAATTATTATTTAATTATAATTATTATCTTATTTATTTATAATTATATTTATTTATTTATAACTATTTCTTTTGTTTATTTATAGCTATTATGTTTATAGTTATGTATTACGAGTTCTCTTATGCATTATTTTTATTTTTTTACCATTCGATGATTATTCTTTTTAATAATTACTATTTAATTATATTATATGATTATTATTTCTAATAACCATTATAAAATCGTACTATATGAATATTATATATAATTACGATAAAATAAAATTATAAGATTATTATATGCTGATTATATATAATACTATTATTAGTTCATGTTACTTTTTTTTACATGATATTATTATTCATTATTTATTGATTGATCTAGATTATTCTCAATCTCTTCCTATATTTTTCATTTGAAATACATTTCAATGTATTTCAAAATAATTCTTTTAAATTATTGTGTATCATTAAATTACCGCTAGGCCGCCATATTGGATTTCATTCCAGCAACAAGAAGAGCTGCTTGGTGCTATTACCCCCGTTATCAAATTAGTTCCTAAATTAGTTCAATACAGGTTTTTATAAGCTGCAGAATTTGATTGCAATTAAAGAGACTGATAACATGTTTGGTTGTTAAATCTATAATTTAAAAGTTTATATTCTGAGTTTCGGATAAAGTAACTTAACAATTTTAAAAAACTTAAAATATTTTTTTTTAATTTATTTTCTTCTATCATTTATAAGCAGATATTATAGATCCATTAAAAAATAATTCAGTGCACATGAATATTATAATGAATACCTTAAAGGCCGAGAATGATTAATTTAAATTAAAATACAAGCTTTAATATTTTTGTTTTAAAACAAAAAAAAATCATTCTCATTTTTAAGTAAGTGGCTCAGAAATATGCTTAAATATAATTTTAATTTATTCATTAATAGACAATTCAAATAATGCACAAAATATTTAATGGATATTGTTATTTTTAATTATAGTAATTTTACAGATGACGCCTTAGCTGGCATCCTCTTTCCTAATGAGAAAGAATGAGAAATTTTAACCATTGTGGATTTAAATAACATGTACCTTTTATAACTTCTAATGTTTTATAAAATTTTCTTGCAATTATTTTTTTATTCTAGGAAACTTTAAGAACAGCACTTGCTATGGGGGCTGACAAAGGCATCCATATTGAAGTAGATGGAAAAGATTATGAAACATTACAACCTCTTCATGTGTCGAAAATTCTAGCAGCATTAGCACAACAGGAAAAAGTTGACCTTGTTTTATTAGGAAAGCAGGTAAATTCATACCTCTGTTGATAAATGTCTGAGTTATAGTTATTAAGTTTTTTTTTTATATTCTTGATTAAAATTCTTTGACCATTGTGGATTTAATGTTGCTATATTAC